TTTCATTCCAATCCCTTCCAGCCACACTCTTTTTCCTTTACAATACATCTCACACCGCCATTTCACCGCTGTCACTTGAGACTTCCGTCTTTCTCTTTCTAAGCCTCCTCGACTGCCAGCTGATCTTGGGACTTTCCCTTTCCTCTCACGCTACTACTTCTACGGCTCCTGTCGTTTCTAATTTCCACACAAAGCAGCTGCGCTTCAAAAGCAGGGAATAAAGGTCAGCATGGGAAGTTGAGGGAGGCGTTGTTGGCTACCTTCCATAATGCTGCGGCCTGTGCTGTCTTCATTGCCGTCTCCCTTTGTCGTTCGAGCAACTGGCTGGCTTGAGCTTTGGCCATTTCTGCCTGTTGGTTGGCCTGAGCTTCGGCCATTGCTGCCTGTTGGCTGGCCTGGGCTTCTGCTTGAGCTGCTACTACCTCCTTCTGCTATGTCACCTCCTCTGTTGCATGTAGATCTGCGTCTGCGTCTGCTACTACAGCTTCTATTTGGGCCTCTGCAGCTCATTCGGCATAACTTGCTGCTTTAGAGGCCTTAGATGCTTTGCTGCAATGGGAGGATGCTCTGGAAGGATGGGAAGAACTAGCAGCTTTCAATTGCTCCGAGACGCTAGAACCTGTTTGAGATCTAGTTGGCTTGAGATGGAGGGAGGAGGCTTTCTTAGAATAATGGGAGGAAGCCACGTGTGGTTGAGGGGCTATATTGGATGTGGCCCTCTCCTCCGGCATTTTTTCCAGCTGCAGTGCCTCATGGAGTGCTGCATGGAGGGAGTCTTTGCCTCGCCGAATGTAGTCCTCATGTTCCTTGTTTAGCTTCTCGAAGCATTGTATGTGCACCTGGAGCTTTGAGTCACCCAGCCTTGACTGGATGGATTTGAGGTTACTTTTGCTGTTTCTCCACCATCCAAGAAGGTCATGTAGATCATTCTGCAATGTGCAGATTCTCTCGAGGGACAGCTTGTGTTTGGGGGTATCACAGATCTCCAGCAGCAGAGACCATTAGTCTGCATAGCATCGATATTGCTTGTCCCAATCCTCCCTCAAGTATGACTCCATGATCTCAGTAAGCTTCCTATGCTGTCTGAGGTCGTAGGCTTTCTGAGGTACCACTGCCTCTTCAGAATTTTGGAACATCCGATTCTGGGTTTTGGGAACCAAGCTCCATGTTTACATCATGGGTGGATGGAGGATTCGAGTCCTCTGGTACATCAGAGACATCTGCCATGGCTGAAGATGCTGCCATGCTTTAGATTGGCCCGTTGAGTGTGTTGCACTTCAGTACTTGACCCTTGGGTTACATTGCAAGGGGTTGCTGAATTTAGGAAATTTCTGTAAAATTCACTACTTGACCACGGATTTCGCTGCGAGCTGGTAGCTGAATTTAGGAAATTCCTGTGAAATTCATTATTTGACCACAAGGGGTTGCTGCGAGCTGGTAGCTGAATTTAGGAAACTCCTGTAAAATTCACTACTTGACCATAAGGGGTTGCTATGAGCTAGTAGATGAATTTAGGAAGCTTTTGTAAAATTCATCACTTGACCACGAGGTGGTGCTGCGAGCTAGTAGCTAAATTTAGGACCCTTGTGCTGTGTTGCAAGGGGTTTGCTAAGTTTAGGAGTCTCCTCTGAGGAGTAGTCAATGTTTGGAGCAAACTATGCTCAAGGCGTTTTTCCCCTTCTTTTTTTTTCCGTATATAAAATTTCTATTTTAAGACAAACATGCACAGACAATACATAAAAAAAACATAAAACCATCTTCCATTTTATACATACAGTGGGTCAGTTGGTTTAGAAGCTTTTGTGTGATCCTTTCATAATCATTGTTCACAATTTATATCAATCTCACATTGCCAAACTAACATATGTTTATCTATTTATCAATTATTAATTATCCTGCTATTTATTCCATCAATATTGTATTATGCTGTCATCCAATGGCTATATATGTCTACATTATATTTTGTATCAATCTATTTAGCTTCTATAACAAAATTATTTATTCTGTTACCTTACCATGTCTTTTTATCCAACCATTGATAAAACAAATCCCATATCATATAAAATTGCTTGTCTTCTTGTTCTCTAATTTCAAATTCAGTTTACACATTTCAGCACAGTCCATAATTTTTTTAATAACTTCCTCTTGCATAGGTATTTTGTCATTTTTCCAGTTCTTCGCCAATACAATTCTAGCCGCTGTTAAAACATTTACAATCAAATATTTCAATTCTTTATTGTATATGTCCGGTATGACTTCCAATAAAAAGATCTCTGGTTTAAAGTCTATATGTTGTTTTATCATTTTTTCCAAACATGTGGATTTTAGTCCAATATTTTTTTGCGTCCGAACATGTCCACCACATATGGTAATATGAACCAGATATTTCCAGCATTTATCTGATTTATTCTTAAACATTCTCACAAGTCTTGTCGGGGGTAGGCACCACCTGTAAAACATCTTATACAAATTTTCTTTATATGCAGTTGACATTGTTATTTTATAATTTTGAGACCACAATTTTTGCCATTTTTCTAAATCAATCCCATATCCAAACTTTTCCCCCCAAGCAATCATAGTTTCTTTAACTTGTTCCTCCTCCAATTTACATTCTAATAGATGTGCATAAAGTTTTTTAATTACCTTTTCATCAGTACCCATCAAAATTTTATCTAAATCAGTCAACTTATCATAAATACTTTCTGCTTCAGTCTTTATCAAACCTAGATTGTATTTGCAAATATGAAAACCAATTCATTTTTACACCTTGTTCTTCCAACGCTTGCATAGATTTAAGTTCACCCTTTTAATTCAACATCTCACCATATCTAACTGTTTGTTCCTTTTTATATTTTATTGGATAAGAAACAGCTTCAATAGTTGATATCCCTGTTGGAATTTTTAAGTAATATTGTCTTTTTAACTTCTCCCAGTGCAAAAACAATGCCTCTCGAATATAATGTCTTCTAAAATATCCCTGTGTTTTAGTTCCCTTATACCAGAGAAAGGCATGCCATCCCAACAGCAAGTCATGGCCTCCTAAAGTCAATCTATTGTTCCTTAGTGTTAACCATTCCTTTACCCACATCAAACTTGTCGCCTGGTAATATAGCTCCCAATTGGGCAAGGCAAACCCTCTTATTCTTGCATCTTGTAACAGTTTTAATTTTATTCTTGGTTTTTTACTCTGCCAAATATATTTCAACACAATTCTATTTAAATCTTCAAAAAACTCTTTCCGTAGTCAAATAGGAATTGTCTGGAATAAATATAAAACTCTAGGCAATATATTCATCTTAATTGTGGATATTCTCCCAATCAATGATAGTTGCAGTTTTTCCCATTTTATCAAATCTGTCACAATCTGCTGTTTGAATTTAACATAGTTATCTTCCTTCAGTATACTACATCTTGGTGTAATATGTATCCCTAAATATTTAACCTTGTTCGTGACCTGTATTTTTAAAATTT